GCAATGTTGCAGATTTGGTGAAGAAATTTGGCTGGGTTTAATATCATAAGAGGGAGCAGGGTAATAAAGAATGGTAGATGTTGCCCTAGCTGGATTGGCTCAGTGGATAGGGCGTCAGCCTGTGGACTAAATGATCCCAGGTTCAATTCTGGTCAAGGGCACATGCCTGGGTTGTGGGCTCGATCCCCAGTAGGGGGTATACAGGAGGCAGTTCATCTATGATTCTCTCTCATCATTGATGTTTCTCTCTCTCTCCCTTTCCCTTCCTCTCTGAAATCAATAAAAATATATTAAAAAATAAATAAGAGATGTCTCTCTTAGACATTTTGTTGTTGTTAATCCTTTCCCGAGGATATTTTTCCATTGATTTTAAGAGAGAGTATAAGGGAGGGGGAGAGAGAGAGAGAAACATGGATGTGAGAAACATACATCAATTAGTAGCCTCCCGCATGCACCCCAATCTGGGGCCAGGGATGAAGTCTGCAACCGAGGTATGTGGCCCTTGACCAGAATCGAACCCGGAACCCTTCAGTATGCCGTCGCTCTCCCCACTGAGCCAAACCAACTAGGGCTGTGGTGCCTTCTCACCCCTGTCATTTGCTGCCTTGGATCAGAGTTCCGATGGCAAATTCTGCCTCCCTTGTGGCAAAGTGCCTGTCTCATCGCCATGGTAGGGCCTCTGCCTCCACCTCTGTAGCTCAGGGAGCCGCCTAGGAACTATCAGGTGGAGGCTTTGACCTTTGACCTTTGTGTCTGCTTAGTGGTGCAGGTGGCAGGCTGTCAGGTGTTTGGTCACTCAGTTGGAATGACATTGTGTCACTTTGAAACTTTGAGTGAAGTGTTGGATTTTTTTTTTAGAAATGAATTTGGGGTCCTACATTGATTTCTAAACACTGCTTTTGCTGCATTCCCCATAGGTTGTGATGTGTCGTATTTCTATTGTTAAATTAATTTTTTATGTTTAAATAAATAATTTATGTTCTGGCCAGGTAGTTCAGTTGCCATGGTTTCAGGTCAATCCCCTCTCGGAACCCGAATAAACCAATGACAGTATAAATAAGTGGAACAACAAATCAGTGTTTTTTTTCTCTCCCTTCCTCCCTCCCGCCTCTCTCTCTCTCTCTCAAATCAATAAAATAAAAAAATTTAAAAAGAATTTTTAATAATTTCTGTTAGGGCATTCTTTTTCTTCAGTCCTCACCTGAGGGTATTTTTTCCATTGATCTTTTAGAGAGAGCGGAAGGGAAGAAGGGAGGGAGGAACGAAAAGAGGAGGGGAGAGAGAGAAACATCGATTGATTGCCTCTCACATTCCCCCAAATCAGGGGATCCAACCTGAATCTGCAACCTAGTATGTGCCCTTGATGGAAAATGGGACCTGCGACCCTTTGGCACATGTGTTGATGCTCCAACCACTGAGCACATGGGCCAGGGCTTGTTGTGCCCAGATTTCGGGGTCCCCAGATATTGACCACCAGGGAGCCACATCCGATGTAAAAGGAAAGAGTCTTTATTTAAGCCGGGCTTGGCTCCCTAGCCTCCTTACCGATGCAGCATGAGACTAGAGAGCACGAGCCCCAGGAGAACAAAGGTTATATAGGGCTATTCATTTAGGTGGGCTTAGGTAAGTGGTGTGGGTTACAGAGATTGGTCAGGGTTTTTCAGCAGGGTCTTACAGCACAATGGTCAGGAAGTGACCAACACATTCTGAGGTTTGAGCCATCCCCCACTATTTCCTGATTGGTTAATAGCGACGCATAGGGAACATCCTATGGTATAGCCTTATTAGGACCTTAGCTGCGTTTCTGGAGCTTCATTGGTCCACTCAGGTGGTGGTTGGGTGAGTTAGGACAATACCAGCATTCTTATGGTCACTCTCAGAAAAAGGGGTGGGGCACTCCCAGTGGGGGAGTGGGAGGGTCAGGCTGAAGACCCAGCTCTACAAGTATGGCGATAGTCAGTTCTGCTTTGTTCTTTCATTCCCCCCTTGTCTTGGAGCTTACGGCTCAATCATGAGACGGATTGCATCTCTATCTCGTTCTCCTTTGCTAGAGGCCGATATTGGGCTTGTAAAACCATTAACTGAACTATTTCTATGCGTTCCTTGACAAATTGGACTAGTCTGTTAATAATACAAGGGCTGAAAGTCAACAACATTAGGAGGATTACAAGGGGTCCGACAAGGGCGGAAATAAGAGTGGTTAACCACGTGGACCAGTTAAACAAGGATTCATACCAAGATTGAGATTGCTCTCTCTAGCTTTCGCTTCTGCAGTCCTTCCCTTATAAGGGCCATGGATTTTTTAACAACTTCTGAATGGTTAACATAAAAACAACATTCCTCCCCTAAGGCTGCACATAAACCCCGCTGCTGCATGAATAGCAAGCCCAATCCTCTTCTGTTTGGAGCACTACTTCAGATAAGGAAGTGAGGGATTCTTGCAAATGGGTGATGGATTTTTCAATTTTTTCTATGTCTAAGTCAATGGCTGCTCTTAGGGTTTCATAGTTCTTGTCTTGTATGACAAGCGAGGATATTCCAGTTCCAGGTCCTGCTAGTCCTAGTCCCAAGAGGGCTGCCACAGTTAGGGCAGTAATAGGCTTCCTTTTACTTCGGGGGTTAATAGCGTCTACTTTGTTAAGTACTTCTTCTTCCGAGTGGTATATTAACTTAGGGATTAACTGTACAAGTACACAGAAACCCTCTTTTTGGGAATTAAGGACTAAGGAGTGGATGCAAGGAGCGAGGCCACTGGAACAGGCCCACCATGCATTCTCAGGGGGCAAAAGATATGCTGTCACCCTAGGGGTAGCCAGAGTTTTGTTACGGAGATGTGACTGTTCAGAGGGTACGTTGCTTATACAAGTTCCCTGAGCTATCACCGCCTGGAGGGTTAGCCTTGCAGCAGTTTGCTGCCACCTGCAGGAGTTGGCAGTCAAGGCTGCTGTATAATTGCCCTTAATTGCGATGCCCTTATAGTACGGTGGTTTGACATCTAGACAGAGCCAGCAAGACTCGGTTAGGTTGGGCCTAGAAGCGTTCAAAACATAATATGCCCCTATGACTATGCTCCAAAGGGGGTTTACCTTAGACAGTAAGATATAACTCAGGGCCAGGTTCCCCGTGGTAGGTGTAAGTGGGGTAAAGAGCTGTGATGCTGGGGTCCAAGTTTCTCCAGGCGTGGACACTCGGGGTGTGGTAGGCCGAGGTTGGAGAGCCAGTATTTGGTTGGGCCCTATTCCTACAGGGGTGTGATGGTGGAGGGGAGAGTTTTGGACGCGGAGGGTAACAACATTCCAAGGTCAGTAATGTACACCGTTCCAAATTCTCTGCACTGGTAAAATCGGAGTCCCCAAGTCTTTCCGGTGTCCCATCCAGTAGTCTTTTTTCCCTCTTCCGTGAAGGAAATGCTCACGGGGTTGCAGTAGACCCGGCCAAAACGAGGACAAGGTGGGGAAGACGGCCGTCCAACGGTGATCAGGTCACCCTTTCTCGGGGCCTCCCACCAAATGTGTCCAGTTGAGACGCATGACCAGGAAGCACAGAAATAATCTCCAGTGCCTCCACAAGGGTTGTTTTCCCAGGACCGAGTTCGTGAGGGCTCGGGGCAAACGTAGAAATAGGCGGTTCTTAATGGTTTTGAGTTCCAAATCCCTGCGCCTATTCCAGCAGATTTATAGTATGGTTTGGGGTAGATTCTTTTGGGAAAGAGAGTCAGGAGGTCCACCCGCAGTTCAGGGAACCAAGTGTTTTTGGGATGGATTTGAGAAGTCTGACTGAGAACCACCCCTGATTTGGTGTCTATAATTTGCCAGGTAACATTATAGGGAGTGTGTGGGCTCCCGGTGGCAGGAGTGATCGCGAGCAAGGTTACAAGCATCAGGCAGGTCGAGCGCGCCGTAGCTTGAGCTTGAGCGGGTTGCATTGGTCTCGGTCGATGTTCCATTGCGCAATGAAGTCCTCCTGGACTGTAGAGGTGTTGGCTGGGTGGACGTGGGTGTGATGGATCCAGGTCGCGACGCTGTCTACCTTGAGAGCGGAGGGTGTAGTCAGCACGACGACGTAGGGGCCCTTCCAACGTGGCTCAAGGGTCTCCCAGCGGTGCCTCTTGACGAACACCCAGTCTTCCGGCTTGTACTGATGAGGCCTCGGGGTTGGGCCAGCCTCGTAGACAGCGCAGAGGTGCTGCCAAATGTCCTCGTGTGCCCTCTGCAGGGCTCTTAAGAGAAAAGATATTTCTTGATTTTTAAACTCAGCAAGAAGTTCAGCTTTGAGGTTAGGAATGATGGGGGTTGGGGGGCTACCAAACATGATCTCATAGCGGTAAGACCCAGGGTGTAGGGGGAGTTTCTCACCCTGTAAAGGGCATATGGAAGGAGAACCACTTAGTCCCCGCCAGTCTCCATGGTTAATTTGGTAAGGGTCTCTTTTAGAGTTCTATTTATTCTTTCTCCTTGCCCTGAACTCTGGGGCCTATAAGCACAATGTAATTTCCAGTCTGCCCTTATAACCTTGGCTATTGCCTGTGTTACCTGTGAAATAAAAGCTGGTCCATTGTCGGATTCTATCATAGCAGGAAAACCATACCTGGGTAAGATGTTTTCCAGTAGTATCTTGGCCACCGTCTGAGCTGTTTCATGCTTGGTTGGGTATACCTCTACCCAGCCAGAGAAGGTGTCTATGAACACTAAAAGATATTTATAATCATACTCCCTTGGTTTAATTTCGGTGAAGTTGACCTCCCATTGTGCTCCCAGTTTGGTGCCCCTGAGCCTGATTCCTTCTCCACCTGACCCGGCTCTTGCGTTTGTGAGTTGGCAGGTCTTACAGGAGGTTACAATTTGATTTATTTTGGAGTCTTGTTGGTGAATCCTGATCCTGGCATGCTGGATTAAGTTTTTAAATTTCCGGGCCCCTAGGTGGGTGGGTCGGTGCATGCATTCTAACACTGTGACCCCAAGCCAGTCTGGTAGTATGAGTTCCTTGTTTGGTGTGTACCATCATCCCTTCACTTCCTGGGTGAGGGGAAGCTTCCTGATCCGATACAGCTCTTTCTGGGAGTACCCAGGCTGATCTGGTAAAACTGGGTCCCTGGGGCCTGGTAGTTGTAGGGCCATGGTGGGGACCAAAGTGAAGGCCGCTGCCTTGGCTGCCTGATCAGCCTTTTGGTTACCTCTTGCCACTGGGTCATCTGCCTTCTGGTGCTCTTGGCAGTGGATAATGGCTAGTTTAGCAGGGAGCCACAAGGCCGCAAGCAGGTCGAGAATTTCCTGCTTATTTTTTATTGTCCGTCCCTCTGCTGTTAATAGCCCTCTCTCCTGATAGATCGCCCTGTGGACATGAGCCGGAGCAAATGCATAACGGCTGTCTGTGTAAACGTTAAGCCGTTTCCTAGCCTCCAGTGTCAGTGCCTTAGTGAGTGCAATGAGTTCTGCTCACTGAGCTGACGTCCCAGGGGGCAGGGCTTCTGCCCACATGGTGTCCGTGTCGGTGACCACTGTTGCACCCGCGTACCTGCACCCATCACGCACGAAACTGCTTCCGTCCGTGAACCAGGTGGCCTCTGCATCAGGGAGGGCCGATCGGTCAAGTCCTTCCGAAGTCCATGTACCTGCTCTAGGATTCCCGCAGTCATGTAGTGGGGCATTTAAGTTGGGGTCAGGCAGCAGGGTAGCAGGGTTGAAGGCCACACTGGGATGGAACCGTACTCTAGGAGGGTTGAGTAGCAAGCTTTGATTGTGGGTCATATGTGCATTGCTCATCCATCTATCAGGAGGTTGTTTTAGGACTCCCTCAATAGCATGTGGGGTTGTGATCCAGATTTCCTGTCCCAGGGTCAATTTGTCGGTGTCCTTGACTAAGAGCGCGGTTGCCACAATGATTCTTAGGCACGGCGGCCAGCCGGCGGCTACTGGATCTAGCTTTTTAGACAAGTACGCTACCGGGTGGCTCCAGGGGCCTAAAGCCTGAGTTAAAACCCCTTTCACTATTCTCTTGTGTTTGTCTACAAAGAGACTAAAGGGCTTTGTAATGTCTGGCAGGCCCAGGGCTGGAGCAGCTAAAAGGGCTTTCCTTATTTGATTAAAGGCTGTTTCTTCTTTCTCAGTCCATTCAAACGCCTTTCTCTCCTTGGTAGCTTCATATAGGGGCCTGGCGATCTCAGCAAAACTTGGTATCCAGAGGCGGCAGTAGCCAGCCGATCCTAGGAATTCCCTCACTTCCCTCCAGGAGGTGGTAGTAGGGATTTTCAAGACCATCTCTTTTCTAGCATCAGACAGCCGCTGCTGTCCGCCCTCCAAGATGTATCCCAGGTAACTCACCCTCTCTCTGCATATTTGAATTTTCTTTGCAGAGGCCCAGTACCCTAAGGTTCCCAGGGTGGCCAACAGATCTCTGGTCCCCTGTTCACAGTCTTCGGCGGTATCAGCAGCAATCAGGATATCATCTACGTACTGAAGGAGGGTGAAACCGGGGTGCTCTCTCCTGTACTCACTGAGGTCCTTGTGTAGTGCCTCGTCGAAGATGGTAGGCGAATTCTTGAACCCTTGGGGTAATCGCGTCCAGGTTAATTGTCCACTGTAGCCTTCCTCCAGGTCATGCCACTCGAAGACAAACAAGGGTTGGCTTTGAGGCACCAGCGGAAGGCTGAAAAAGGCATCCTTCAAGTCTAATACAATATACCAGACTCTAGAGCAGCCGTGGGCAAACTACGGCCCTGGGGCCGGATCCGGCCAGTTTGAAATGAATAAAACTAAAAAAAAAAAAAAAGACTGTACCCTTTTATGTAATGATGTTTACTTTAAATTTGTATTAGTTCACACAAACACTCCATCCATGCTTTTGTTCCGGCCCTCCGGTACAGTTTAAGAACCCATTGTGGCCTTCGAGTCAAAAAGTTTGTCCACCCCTGCTCTAGAGGGCGCCAAAGAGCTTAGGAGAGTGTATGGGTTAGGAACAGTTGGGTGTATATCCATGACTCTTTTATTTACTTCCTGGAGGTCCTGTACTGGTCGGTAGTCATTCGTGTGAGGCTTCCTGACTGGCAGGAGGGGGGTGTTCCCGGCAGGTTGGCACATAACCAGTACCCCTAGGCTTTGCAGTCTCCGAATGTGAGGCTGGATTCCTTTCCAGGCCTCCTGAGACATAGGGTACTGCTTGACTCTTACCGGGCCTTCTCCTGGTTTTAGCTCTACCAGGGTTGGGGCCCTGTGGGCGGCTAGTCCTACACCCCCCCCCCTTCTCCGCCCAGGCTATGGGGAATTCTTGTAGCCATCTATCCATGTTGCTTTCTACTGGGGGTGCTCCCTGGTGGAGGCGATACTCATCCTCCAGTCTTAGAGTCAGAACTTGGATGGGGTGGCCTTTGCCATCTGTGACCTGGGGCCCCCCTTGTCTGAAAGTTATCTGGGCTCCAATCTTGGTTAGCAAGGCCCGTCCTAATAGGGGGTAGGGACATTCAGGTATCACCATGAAGGAGTGGGATACCTGGCCCGTTCCTAGATCGACCATTCTTTGGGTAGCCCATGAATACTGGCTCATGCCAGTTTCCCCCTGTACCCAGGATTTCTTGTTGGCTAGCTTCCCCTGAGGTGTGCGGAGGACCGAATGTTGTGCTCCGGTGTCAACGAGGAAGTCAACCAGGCCCCCCCACCCCCACTCTAAGAGTTACCCTGGGCTCGGGGAGGGGATCCGAACTCCAACTCCCCTAATCACTCAGCTCCTCCAGCTCTAAAACTCCCACTCAGTCCGCCTTGCTTCCTTTCTTGCCGGCCTTTTTTTGGACATTCTTGAACCCAGTGTCCTATCTCTCTGCAGTAAGCGCACTGATTCCTCTGCAGCTTCTTTTTCCCACCCTGGGCAGCCCCCTTGCCTCCCTCCTGGTCATCGGCAAGTTGGCGAAGGCGGCGGGTCCTTTCCTCAGGGGAGTCTGCGGTGGTGGCTAGCAGAATCTTGGCCAGGTTTTGGGTCTGCTTGTCACTGGCAGTCACCATGGCGCGGGCCTGCCTATCCTCAGGAGGCTCCTGGTTGTTATACACTTTCTCAGCTACTTCCAGCAAATCATGCAAACTCTTTTCTCCTAATCTATTTACTCTTTGCAGTTTCTTTCTAATGTCTGCAGCCGATTGGTTTACAAAACTCATGATTACAGCTGCTTTACTATCAGGAGCCTCTGGATTCATGGGGGTATAAGTGTGGTATGCCTCCATGATCTGTTCTAAAAAGGCAGCTGGAGACTCATCCCTTTCCTGCTATAGATTCCCTACCTTGGTCAAATTGGTGGGCTTCCTAGCAGCCATTCGGAAACCCCCCATTAGAGTCTGGCAGTAGACCCGGAGCCTCTCCTTACCTTCTGCCGTGTTGAAATCCCATTCAGGCCTGGTTAAGGGAAAAGAAACATCTATTTGGGCCTGGTTGGTGGTTGGGTTCCCGTCCACTCCTGTAACCACTTTCCGGGCCTCATTGAGGATTCTCTCTCTCTCCTCCGTTGTGAACAGGACCTGCAAAAGCTGCTGGCAGTCGTCCCATGTGGGCTGGTGGGTGAAAAGCACAGAGTCTAATAGGTCAATGAGCCCTGCTGGCTTCTTGGAGAACTTAGGGTTCTGTGCCTTCCAGTTGTAAAGGTCACTAGTGGCGAAAGGCCAGTAGTGATGGGGCTGATTGCCGTCCGCATCCGGGGGCCCTGCGGCTCGTAAGGGCAGGGTCTTGATAGTAGAATCAGGGGCTGTGACGGACAGCTCCCTCTGAGCCCTTTGTCTAGTGAGGGCCCCGGCCGCTTCTGGAACTCTGCCCGCTTCCCGCGGCGGGGCAGGATTGAATCTCTCCGGCATCCTAGGGAGCTGATACAGGGGAGGAAAAATTAACTCTTCTCCAATTCCTGCCTGCAAAACCGGGTAGAGGGGAGCTGGAGCTGACAGCAGGGTGGCTTTCTTCTTCTCCTTCTTCTTTTCCACTTTCTACAAGGCAAGAATGGGTTCCGGCTCCAGAGGGCGCAGGGCTAGGAAGGGCTTGAGCCAAGAGGGCGGGTCCTCCACGAGGGCCTGCCAAGTAATAATGTAAGGGAGTTGATTGGGATGACCCCCCTTCGGCCAGGAGACGACTTCTCTGACCCGGCGGATGGTGGGGAGATTGAGAGTCCCCTCTGGCAGCCACCCGACATTGAGATCCGGCCATTCACTGGAACAGAAAGTTTGCCAACGGCCCTTTCGCACCTCTACACTTTAGCCCTTCCCTTAACCTCTTTGAGATGATCAACCATAATACTTAAAGGAGTAGTTTGGGTCTGTCCCGTAACGTCTGTCCAGTAAGTCCACAAGATTAGACAGAAAAACACAGAAAACAGATAAACAAAGACACTCAAGAACAGCCTTCCGACCCCACGGAAACAAAACCGAAAGCTAGATGATGGCCGTACGCCAACTGGCGGGAGCGAGCCACCTCGTCTCAGATTTTCGAGGGGAACCCACACCCCTCGTGAGGGGTTTCCGCGCCCCTCCAGATGGAGGATCGGAGCCTCCTCCGACTCCTCCTGCTCGTGGTCCCCCAGTGTGTCCACCTAGACCGCTTCAGGTACTACAGATTGCAGAAACGAGCTTGCACAGAACACACAACGACACAGACACCTACCGCGGTCAGTCAGACTCTCTGGATTGGGGTCCCTCGTGGTTTTTGGGGATCTCGGACAAGCCCCCAAAAGTTGTGCTCAGATTTCGGGGTCCCCAAATATTGACTACCAGGGAGCCACATCCGATGTAAAAGCAAAGAGTCTTTATTCAAGCCTGGGCTTGGCTCCCCCAGCCTCCTTACCAACGCAGCCGTGAGATGAGAGAGCACGAGCCCCAGGAGAACAAAGGCTATATAGGGCTAGTCATTTAGGTGGGCTTAGGTAAGTGACGTGGATTACAGAAATTGGTCACTTTAGTCAGGGTTTTTCAGCAGGGTCTTACAGCACAATGGTCAGGAAGTGACCAATACATTCTGAGATTTGAGCCATACCCACTATTTCCTGATTGGTCAACAGTGGCACATAGGGAACATCCTATGGTATAGCCCTATTAGGACCTTAGCTGCCTTCCTGGAGCTTCATTGGCCCACTCAGGCGGTGGTTGGGGGAGTTAGGACATTTCTGGCATTC